ACTAACGATCCATAGAATCTTTAAGCTACGTTTAAATAAAGCAGCATTGACCTGTTCAATACTCAAGCACTGAACAAAATAACCTGAAGCAGACAATTGCTGGGCTGTTTGCAAAGCAAAACTTTCTGTCTGCCCTGACTGACTTGCATATACAATCAAATATTCATCTGCATTTTGAGCTAAATTGCGTTTTGATTGAGGTCTCAATAAAAGCAACAGAAAAATGCCATGAAATATAAACAAGATTGCTAAAAATATAAGTACAGTCAGTACAGCATGTGTCATTGTTATAACCTTTTATACCACTGTCCAAACCAGAAGCATCAATAGCCCTAAGCTAAATACCGTCAAGAAAAGATGTGTTTTTAAGCGAGTCTTAATACTTAAAAATAGGATATAGCCTGCCAATGATAAGATCGTAATGATGATTGCACTGATATCAATCAGCCAAGTCCATGCTTTACCCGCATTTTTTCCACGGTGCAAATCACTGATCAATGAAACGGTAGAGGCTGGTTTAAGTGTAATTTCAGCTTGACCATTATCTAAAGTGACCCAAATATCTGTTGAACCTGCTGGGCTTGCCAAATGAATCATGACTTCATTGTCCATGACTTCACCACTCTTATAACGACCAATGACTGCATGATGTTGTCGTAGATAATCTACGATTTGAGTGCTTGGATTCTCTTGGTCTTTAATTTGAGTCAGGACATTTTCAGGTAAAGTAATCGTTTCAGTATTTTCATCTGTTGCAGGGGTAAACCATTCAGGGTGGTTTAAAATTAATCCCGTAACAGCAAAAAAGATTAAGACAATAAAGGCAAAAGCTGATAACCAGCCATGCACATAACGTGCATGGCGGTAAAAATCTCGACGTTGATACACAATTAAACTCTCATCAAAACTTTTATCAAAACGCTTATCCGAACAGGCATAGTCAGCAAATTAATTCACTTTCTGGAAATTCAGTTTGACGACACCGATTTCCTTTTGTGCAGGTAAATTTTGAGAGGAAGCTTTTGCTTTTACGTCCAAGTTAAAAGTTTGATAAGAATGATCACCATGCTCACGTGAAGCTTCAACATGTATTTGATACTGCCCTGCATCTACAGTTTTACCATTGTCATCTTTACCATCCCAAGCCAGTTTATAATTACCCGGTTGGCGTGACGGTTTAGCAACTGCATCCAAGTTCGTTATTTGACGGCCATAACGGCGCCACCATACATAGTTTGAATTAATCCATTTCGGGTCTTTGCCCCAAGCTGCAAGTGTCCGCACTAATTTTTTATCACTGTCGGTCACCCAGATCGAAATATAAGGTGCGCGATAATTTTCCACAACCAATTTGGGAATAACCAAATCGATCACCGCTTGATAACCTGCGGGCCATTTTGCTGAAGCATTTGCTGCAACATTATGAAAATCTGCTTGCTGTGGAAGTTGAACCAACGCATTCCAACCTGTGCTTTGATACGTTTCACCCGTTGAAAGTGTCAGTTGAGCTTCATAACCGAGCAAAGATTCGATCAGTTGCATGCCTTCTGCTGGCTTCATCACAGTCAAGGCTGTTGCTAAAGCATCTGCATCCGCAGCACATTTTCCAACAACTACACATTGTTCAACATGTTGGATTGGCAAACCTGAATATGGATCTAAAAGATGAGATTGACCAGCCAAACTACGATAACCCTGACCACTGAATGCGACCGCTTGGTCTTTTAAGTTTAAAACTTGGCTTGGTGCTAGATTGTCATAGTGATTAAAGGCATCTTGTACACCAACATTCCAACCCGCTTGATTGGGTGAGGTTCCCCAAACGCGCATGTCACCACCGATATCCAGTAAAATACCTTTTAAATTAGGGACCGCTTGACGTGCTGCAATTAAAGCTCGATCAATAATATAGCCTTTTGCATAGCCATCTGGTGCAAAAGTAACTGAGCTATCCATTTTCACACTTTTTGTTTTTTCATCCAAACGAACACTGTTGTCTTGCAACTGCGAAAGCAATTGATCACGTGTACTTTGATCAATTTCAAGCACCCCATTGGCCTGTTGCCACATTGCGATCAAATTGCCTAAACGTGCATCAAATGCACCACAGGTTTTACCACGCCAAGCTTCACATGCAGCAATCACCTGATACAAATCCGAAGATGCTGTGAGCTGTTTTTGTTGGTTAAGTTGTGAAATTTCACTGTCATTTTGCCAAGTTGATAACACTCGATTCAAATCAGAAATTTCTTTTTCGATTGCAGCTGTTGCACGCGCAGCATCTTGTTGCGAAGTTCCAGTAATCACCACATCTAAAGATGTACCTAAAACATGATCACGATGGAAGTGATGACTTTCCAATTCAATATTATTATTGCTTGCAGCAGAAACCTGCATTGTTTCTGCATAACTATGTAGTGGAGATATCAGTGCTAATGCCATGACCAGAGGCGAAAGACGAAATACAGCACGAGTTGAGGGTGAACGTCTGCTTGATGAGGACATACGGATAGTCTCTGAATTTTGTTAAAATAATATTGATAATGATACTTGTTATCAAGTACATTATGTAAAATATTTTAACTTAAGTTTACAGGACGCTTGAAATGAATCAATGGCTCAAAATTGCCTTGCTATCTGCATTACCCGCTGTTGGTTCTGCGCATACCATCAGCCCTTTTATTCTCCCTGAAGTTTTTGATACCAGCGCATCACAAAATATAAGCTTCCAGAGTTCACTAACCTTAGAAAAGTTTTTTGTTCCCAGCATTAACTTTAAAACCAGCTATCTCCTTACAGATCCTAAAGGTCAGCAAATAAAAATAAATCCTGCTGCCGAATTAAAACGCTTTAATGTTGCTGAGTTTGATCTTCCAAGTGAAGGGACTTACTGTATCCGTACAGATAATGCTTTAGGGAATAGTAGTAAATACGCCCTTATAGATGGTCGTTGGTTACGTATCCGCCCTGTACGTCCGCAAAATGCAAATGCTCAAGCGCCTAAATCTGAACAACAAAAAGCCGATGCTGAAAAAAAACCAGTAACACCACCACAACCGCCACGTTCAGTTTCAGCAGACCAAGTCCCTGCAAATGCACAAACCTTAGAGGTTAAAAACAATATTATTGCTGAAAGCTTTGTCACCAAAGGCAAACCAAGCCCTGTTCCAGCAGTCAGCAATAAAGGATTTGAAGTTAAGTTTTTAACCCATCCAAATGAATTGTTTGCTGGTGAATCATTAAAAGCGCAGATTTTACTCAATGGCAAAGCTGTACCAAACCTTGAAGTTGATGTGTTTAAAGGCGCCAGTAGTTATGAAACCAGTGCACAACGTGAACAACCACATGTAAAAACCAATGCAAAAGGTGAAGTGGAAGTTAAATTTGAAAAACCTGGAATTTATTTGATTACGACTTCTTATCCAGAGGCTAATCCTGACAATAGCAAAAAGCCAGAAAGTGAAATTTTTACTTATGGTCTAACCGTTGAGGTTGCTGAATAAATTCTATGAGCATATTAATTTTTATTTAATAATTAGCATATTTATTAGCTTTCTTTCACAAGTCTTTTTAAAAGCATAAATCAACATAAAAGCACCCTCATCCTAGCCTTCTCCCAGAGGGAGAAGGAACTTTCAATACAAATATGATTCAATTCAAATGATCATTTTTCAATCCATCAAAGATAACCGAATCAAAATTTAGAATAATAATCAATTAGATAGATATAAAAACCTGCATTATGCTAAAGTTAAAAGACTTTAGCATTTTTTTGCATAAGCAAATCAACAATCAAGACAACCACTTATACAAAAAAGTCATAAGATATGCCTGTTTTTTGATATCTGGCAATATAAGTCATGTTTGGTCCTGTTGAGTTTATTCTAGCTGGCGTTTTAGTCGGCTTCTGTGTAGGTATTACTGGTGTAGGCGGTGGTTCACTTATGACCCCCATCCTGATTAGTTTATTTCGAATAGAACCCCACATCGCAATCGGAACAGACCTACTCTATGCGGCTATTTCTAAGTTTTGTGGCTCGATGGTTCATGCTAAAAAACTGAATATCGTTTGGCCGATTGTTCTCTGGTTAGCCTTGGGCAGTGTCCCTGCTTCATTTATCACCCATTGGGTTTTAGACAATTACCTCAGCAGTTCAACACACTACAAAGCCATTTTAACCATGGTGTTAGGCTTTATGCTGACCATAACAGGCTTGTCTATCGTGTTCCGTTCTAGAATTGAAAAATTCTTTGCCAAATTTCGTGCAGAAAAACAAGATTTTCATGAGGCCAATAATTTCAACATTGAAGGCAAACGCACTTATGTTGTGATTATGGGGATTGTACTAGGCGTATTCGTGACCCTTTCTTCTGTAGGTGCTGGCGCATTTGGTATCATGGCACTGATCCTCATGTTTCCCAATTTACCGATGATTCGTATCATCGGTTCCGATGTGGTACATGCTGTTTTGTTAACCTCTGTTGCTGGTTTTGCACATATGACATCTGGCAATGTAGATTTTCATCTGCTTGGATGGTTGCTGGTGGGCTCAATTCCTGCAATTGTGGTGGGGACCTTGATCAGTTCTAAAATGCCAGAAAAAATGATTCGCAAGGTTTTGGGGATCACCCTATTTGCCTTGGGTATTAACTTTATCTTAAACCCAGTTAAATCCAAACCTGTAGAAAAACCACAGGCTGCAATGGTGACGCCATCCGTCCAACAACCGCAGGTTTAAAATTAAGCTTTTATTGATAACTAATAATTATGAATTGACCGTAAAGTTTTAATGATTTATTTATGACAAAACTTCGGCCAATTCGTGTTATATTCTGACCACTAAAAATACTTTCTGTATGTTTCTAATACCCAGTGACGGCAATGAATACATTAAATTCAAATCCAATTACTCAATCAGATATTGATGACGTGAATGTCCAAAGCATTCAAACGCTGGTAACCCCAGCGGAACTTAAAGCTGAATTACCATTAAATGAAAATGCCTACCAAACTGTACTTCATGGTCGGGAAACTGTTCGTAATATTTTAGATGGTAAAGATAAACGTCTATTTGTTGTGATTGGCCCTTGTTCTATTCATGACCCTGTTGCAGCACATGATTATGCAAATCGTTTAAAAGTATTAAGTGAAAAAGTAAAAGATACTTTATATATCATCATGCGTGTTTATTTTGAAAAACCTCGTACAACCGTTGGTTGGAAAGGTTTGATCAATGATCCAGATATGAATGATTCTTTTAATATTGAAAAAGGTCTACGTTTAGGTCGCAAACTATTGCTTGAGTTAAACGATAAAGGCTTACCTTGTGCGACTGAAGCGCTTGACCCGAACTCACCACAATATTACCAAGATCTTATTTCATGGTCTGCAATTGGTGCACGTACAACGGAAAGCCAAACGCATCGTGAAATGTCTTCTGGTCTTTCTTCACCTGTAGGCTTTAAAAACGGTACAGATGGTGGTTTAACCGTTGCAACCAATGCCATGCAGTCTGTTAAACATGGTCATAGTTTCTTGGGTTTAAATAACGAAGGCCAAGTTTCAGTGATTCGTACCAGCGGTAACCCTTATGCACACGTTGTATTACGTGGTGGTAATGGTAAGCCGAACTATGATGCGGGCTCTGTTGCTGAAGCGGAAAATGCGTTAGCAAAAGCCAAAGTCAGCAATAAAATCATGATTGATACCAGTCATGCCAACTCAAATAAAGATCCGTATTTACAACCGCTTGTGTTGAAAAATATCACTGAACAGATCTTAGATGGCAATAAATCTATTGTCGGCATTATGGTTGAAAGCCATATCAAAGGTGGACGCCAAGATATTCCTGAAAATCTGGCTGATTTAGAATATGGTAAATCCGTGACTGATGGTTGTATCGATTGGGAAACCACTGAAAAAGCGCTTCTGGAAATGGATGCAGCTTTAAAAGAAATTTTACCAAATCGTTAATTAATATAAAAACGCCATCTACATAGATGGCGTTTTTGTTTATGATGTTATTAAACATTTTCTGTAAGAATGCTATGAACGAACTTGAACAAGAACTCTGTCAAATCGCAAACTTCCAGTTTGTCCACGAACATTTACTGACTTCAGGTCAGCCGAGTGCTGAACAACTGAAACAGATTAAAGAATACGGCGTAGATACAATCATCAATCTGGCATTTACAGATGCCAGCTTACACCTTGAACATGAAGATAAAATTTGTGCTGAGTTTGGGCTCAACTACATTCAAATTCCAATCCATTGGGATACACCAGCAGATGATCAATGCTTATTTGTGTTAGATTTGATCGCGCATTTGGTACAGGAAAAAATTGTTTGGGTACATTGTGCAAAAAATATGCGGGTGAGTTGTTTGATGTATTTATATCGCCAATATTATATGGATATTGATATGCCAACCGCACAAGAGTTGATGCATCAAATTTGGGAACCCAATGAGACTTGGACCGGTTTAATACATGCTGTTGCCTTACAACTGCAAGGGCGTAAAGCCACTGAAGATTTACAACACTCTTTGATGAATGCGGATCAGTTTTCTTAAACCAGCATAACAACAGTTCAATCATTGATATATTTAAGTAAAATCATCAACATGAACAAAAATAAGCGCCTTATGGCGCTTATTTTATGGTGATAACTTAATGTTTGATTTGCTTACTTGATCAATGGTTACTTGATTAGAAGCTGCTTGATCAAAGCTAAATTTTCAGCACGGGTTGCAGCCAAAATCAAACTGTTATTGGCAGTAAGATTTGTCCATTTTTGATTCCCGCCAGTACCGCAATTATAACTAATCAAACGTGCTCGGTTATTGCTTAAATAGCCATATTCCAAATCAAAACATTTGGAACCTTGCTCGATACGTTGCAGTGTGGCATTCATCGCCCACACTTGGCTTGCTGCATCATGGTTACATGAGCTTAGATTAATCACCCCACCCTGATTGGCTAAACACTGATCCATATATTTTTTGCTGTGGATTTTACCCATTGCATCGTAGATCCACTGTTCAGTGTCATCACCCGTACAGCCACTCTTACCACTGATATAGGCATTCAATTTGCCATTAGCCAGTGTTTCAACTTTTAGACAATTTGTCCCATTTTTAATACCGGAAACATGGTTTAAATTGAAATCAGTACTTAGTTCCAACTTTGCCACAAACTGATTAAATGCCTCAATTGCTTCTACATTGCCACTTTCAAGATCAGTTCGATATGCATTTATCCAACGATTTAAACGATAAAGTTTAATTTGCTGTTGGGTATAACGGACCATTTCTGTTTGCGCGTCCGCTGACAATTCAGTTTTAAATTGACGATAAGAGTCAAATAATAAGCGTGAATCCGCATCTAGGCTGACCACCTCTTTACCTTTATTATTCAGCAAAGCTTGTTCGAGTTGTGGCATTTCAAGTGTTCTTAATGCCGAATACTCTGCTTCTTTACCAATAGAAACAAAAGGTGCCATTGCTTGTGTAGTAACAGGAATATTGATATTCGACAATTTCACTGCTTGCTGACCTGCTTTTTGGCAGTAAAGATCAACATTTTGAGGTGTATCACTTTGCGCAAGGTTGATATGGAATTTGTTGGCATTGCTACCTGAATTTACCCGTTGTGGAGCAAGTGCAATATTTTCTACTTTGTTGGCATACTGCACATTTAACCAACAACTTGCAGCTGTGCCAGTCGTGTTGGCCTGAGGTAAATTAAAGACATTGCCCCAATTACCTCGTGCCGCAGGATAAATGATTCCCACCTGATTAACTGGATCATAGCCACCTAAAATCGTATAAACAGGCACACTAAACAAACGTGGTTTTAAAAAGTTACCATCGGCACTGTTATACCAAACATTGCCTGAGTTTGGTGTTTTTGGTTGTGCATCTACCATTTCACGTGTTGCTGCATTCCATTTTTTATAACCTGTCGTAGAGTTTGGATCCCACACGTATTTATCAAAAGCAGGTTGAATTTTTAACCACATACTATAACCAGTATAGTGGGTATATTTGGAAATCGAGCTAGCGCTAGATCCACCACTCATGGCATCCCAACCATAGGCATAGAGATTTTGGAAGTTTGGTACACCATTACTGCCATCCCCTAAATTGGTATTGCCCCAATTTAAATTGCCACGCATTTTATTTCGAAATGCAATGTATCCCCAGCCACTGTCCGCATGGTGTGCAGACCAGAAATAATTTGTGGGACTTCCACTAGTTTCGACTGAGCCAGGATAATGCCCTAAACCATAGTGATGCCCGATTTCATGGCTAAATTCATTCCCCACCGAATCGATCAATGTCAAAATACCATTTCCACCGCTTAAGCCATGATTGGACTCACCATTGGCATATTTACCTCTGGCATGATGAATCACCACACTTTGAGTCACTTGTGGTTGCTCTTGGCTTTGCATCGATGAACTGGTGACACCCCAGTTCGCTAAGTTAATTCCAACACTAAATGTCGATTTAGCGGTGTTTTCACGCATATCTCCATCATAGACGCCACCATTGGTTGCACTGACAGAATCGTAAATGACACCACTTGCAACCATGACCCGATTAAGCTTCATTTCATCGTATTTGCTGACTATCATTTTTGCAGCAGGGATGGTTTGGAAATAATCGGTTCCTGCTTTTTCAGGTTCCAACAGCATATAGTGACCATTGGATTTAGGTGCATCAGTCAATAAACCTAAACGAATACTTTGCACCACCAACTCGCCTGGTGCGGCAAAATCAATATCTGTCCCAGCTAAAGAACCACTGCGATTGTTTACAGAGTCTAGAATACGGATGGATAATCCTGAACGTACCTCATCCCACTTTAATGCTACTGACCATGCCTGTTTAGAATACATTACCCGCGCTCGATCATCCTGATTAGATTGATCTGAAGCAGCAAGACGTGAAGGCTCTTTTAGATTTACGGTACGTATCAGTTGGTTACCTTGATAGATTTCCGCTTGTAATTTATCAACATCTCCCATCGAAACCAAAGGTGTAACCAATAACAATGCATCTTTCTGCGTTGTTAAGCGTGGCATTTTATCCTGTTCATTATTCTTCGGGTTTACCACATGACTTTGGGCAAACTGTAGCATTGCAGCAAAGTTACCATTTAAATCATTGCGCAATAAGCGATTTCCACCCTGTGCATTAAAATCATAAAAGCCTAATACACTGCTTGAGATTTTATTTTTAACTGGTTCTGGATATTTTTCTACTACAGGTGGTGTTGTGCCTGTACCACCATTTGAGCCACCCGAACCGCCCTCAGGAGGCTGAGTCGTACCACCGTTTGAACCCCCTGAACCGTTGTCTGGGGTTTCTGGTGTACCATCTCCAGGTAACTCATTTGTACCATCGCCAGGGTTTTGCGGTATATTCGATGGCTGATCATTTGTAGAATGGCTATCACTACCGCCCCCACATGCAATAAGCATTGCTGAAAGCGTACAAATTGTTAAATATTTAAACCGTAATTGCATCACATATCTTCCCCATATTTATAACGACTTATCTCTATCCTTAGTTTCTGAGATTAAATTAAAATAATTATATATTTCAATTATTTAAATATATCATATTGTTTGTAATCATGTGATTTTTATTTAAAAATATAAAAAGGACATATTGCTCTAAATTTTACTTTTATGGATTTATTGAGTTTTAGGTTGTTATTTATCGGCACCGTGGTGCTATCACGTGGCGACAGGGATATCGCCAATTGTGTGTGGGTATGCGGGGATACAGATTTAGTAGCGCAAGATGGGGCATCGCCTACACAAAGGGAGAAGGAGCTTTCAATATCAATATGATTCGCTCAACATAATTATTTTTTAATTTAAAAAGCAACTATTGCTGAAACTCTCGTATCGACAATTCACCACGTTCGCCTCGCCAAATCCATTTTAAATGACTATCTGCAAAACGCTCGCCTTCAAACCAAACAAATAGGCCTTCCATCATCTCTGGCCAGTCACTTTGACTGATTTCAGTACGTTTTGAAATCACCGCAATAATCGCAGCAAGAATCGTATCGTGGCTCACAGCCAAACTAATCCCGTTGTTTAGCGTAGGATGTGTTTCATAGATTAATTCAAGCACATCCACCACACCCGTAATCGGATGTTTCATACCAGGTAAGGCATTATTTACAAAACTATTGATAAAACCTAAAGCACCTTGTGCTCTAAAATAAGGAGCAGCCTGTTTAATATCCAGCACAAAGCTTCCCGGCTCAACCAATAAGCCCTTTTCTACAATTTCGATGTGATGGGTATTCGGATAAGGAGAAATTCCGTCAGCGCCTTGAATCATCAAAGCCGCGGTATCGACACAACGCTGAATGGGGCTTGAAATACAATGTTGGATCACTCGATCCGTATTTTCAATCAAATAACAACCCCAAGCTTGCGCTAAATCACGACCTTGGGAAGTTAATTGCAGATCATAACCTGCCAGCCCCTGCCCATTCACAACCTCACGAATTGAATGACGCGTGAATAAGGTTACAGGTGTTTTCGCATCGGGCAATAAATCTATTGCTTTTAGCATACTGTTCGGCAATAAATCTAAGGCCATATCAACTTAAAACTCATTTTTATACAAGCTTACTATAACATATGCAGCCAAGCGCTCAATCTAATCTCAAAGTGTTAAATTATCTATAAAATGCATATGTATATCAGATTAAAAGCTCACATTGCTTAATGCTTCTAAAGCAATTTCTTTATTTTCGACATTCCGAAATGCGATAAACCCATCATTTAACACGGTATCACGTTGATTATAAGTAAATGGTACCGCAGCTAAACTCAGTAATCCACCACCAATACTTTCCAATAATCCTTGTCCTGCACTGGTATCCCACTCAGAGGTTGGATGGAATCTTGGATAAATATCAATTTCGCCTTCAAGCATCATACAAAACTTATAGGCACTGCCCGCCTCGCGTCTAATGACAGGCGATTCTTGCTCAATATAATCAATATATTGCTGATACTTTGGATTTTTACTGCTATGGCTTAGTCCAATTTGAATTGCATCTTCCTCTACAGCTTTAAACTTGCAATAACGTTCCCAAGTACGGTGAATAAAGCAATATTTATAAGGCAATTCTGTTAAATATCCCAAATACATCACTTGCTCTGTCGGTACAGCAATGATTGAAAATATGGTTTGGTGGTTGTGAATTAGACTTAAATTAATCGTAAATTCATCACGTTCATGAATAAATTCTTTAGTTCCATCCAAAGGATCCAGCATCCAACAGATATTCCATGTATGTCGTTGAGAGTAATCGCTCTCTTCTGATAGCACTGGAATTTCAGGAGTGAATTTCGCCAATTGTTCTATTAAATAGGCATTCACTTTTAAGTCAGCTTGGGTAACAGGTGACTGATCATCCTTTTTATCAATATTAAACGCATTTCCAGCACAATAATTTTGGTATTCCTCGAGCAAGATTTGACTTGCAGATGCCAAAACTGGAACTAATTTTAAAATTTGTTCATCTTGTGGTGCTTGAGTGGTAATAAACATTGATCCGACCTGTAGGATGTCTGATTTTTGTCCACAAGCCTACCATTTTTTTATGTTGAGTGCATGAAAACAATAGCTTTTAACGAATAAATATCCTGAGATTCGATATGCTTTTTGAACACTATCATAGACTTCTAAATTTTCATTTGATTTAGATTAGTCCAAGTCTATTCAACCTATTTAAAATTTTATCCAATGAAATCCATTTTAATATGGATGAATTAACCAATAACATATTGTTTTCATTAATTGTATTTATAGAATTAATCACAACTTTAACATTCAGGCTTCAGATGCTTTGAATTTTAATCGTTGTTTTGTTTATGAATATTTTTTAAATCAGGTCTATGTTCATGTATATTTTTTTGCAGTTCAAAAATATGACTGAGCGCTTTGCCGATAAGCAAAATATTTTGCCGATTTTCTAATTCTGGTGCTTCTTGGATTTTTACTGAAATATTATCTAATAGCATCGCTGCTTGATGTAATTCAGAATTTATCGTATCTAATACGTTCATTTAAGCCTCATTCATATCGTTTGGATCTAAGTGTTATAGCATTTAGATTTAATGCTTTAAATTATAATATATGTAGTTGGATCAAATTTTGAGAGCAGAGCTAAGCGATTAGTGTTAAGTAAAAGAAATCCGCAAATGATGAGCTTTCCTGCTCATCATCTCACATTTATTTTATTAAAATTTACACGCTCATAGAGTCTTTGTTAAACTTTAAAAAACTTTGGAGTTCCTTGAATGCAAAAACCGATCATCTTTTTTGACATGGACGGTACACTCCTTGATTTAGCTTTTGATGATCTGATCTGGAACACAAAACTGCCTGAACGGCATGCAGAAACCCATCAATGTAGTTTAGAGCACAGTCAAAACATTCTAAATGCATTTTATCAACAACATAATCATACCCTCTGCTGGTATTCTTCAAAATATTGGTCTGAAAAAGTTGGGGTTGATGTCCTACAATTACAATATGATTTTAAAGATAAAATCACCCCAAGAACTGGCTGTTTTGAATTATTAAAACAATTAAAAGCACAAGGTTATCGTTGCTGGTTACTGACCAATGCAGATTGTGCTGGCTTAAAACTTAAACTTGAAAATGTTGATCTCAGCCCTTATTTTGAAGTAATGATCAGTAGTGAAGAAATTGGCTATTCCAAAGAGTTTATTGAGTTTTGGCAAATCCTTCAGCAAAAGCATCCATTTGATCCACAAAATGCATGTTTTGTGGATGACACCATTCCTGTATTAAAAGGTGCTGAAAAGTTTGGTATAGCGCACTTAATCACGATTACCCAACCTTCCAGTGGTCGTGCTGCGCGTCATCAATTAGAATTGGAATACCCTGCAATCAATCATTTAACTGAACTTTTACCATTACTGAAAAACGTAGCGTTAACAAATTTACAGTCAACAGATTTAGAACATAAGGATGTCGATGTCAAAACAGCCTGAGAAACAACAACTTGAAACAATGCGTGTAGACAAATGGCTTTGGGCTGCACGTTTTTTTAAAACACGCTCTATTGCCAAAGATGCAATCGAGGGTGGTAAAGTTCATCACAATAATGAACGTGTTAAAGTCTCAAAAGAGATTCGTGTTGGAATGGAGCTCACCATACAACAAGGTTTTGATCGTAAAACGGTAGTGATTAAAGCACTCTCCGTTGTTCGTGGCGGCGCACCGATCGCCCAACAACTTTATGAAGAAACTGAGGTGAGTGTGGCACGTAGAGAGTTGATTTCATCCCAAAGAAAATTGCATAATCTAGCGCGCCCTGATCATCGACCAAGTAAAAAAGATCGACGACAAATTAGCAAATTTAAACAAGAAAATGATCAACAATTTGACCAATCTTGGTCCTATGATGATGACTGAATTCGTTTAGGTTGGGTACGACATCTTATGTCGTACTAATGTTTTTTAATATAGAACCATTTTTTATTTTCTGTCACTATTACTGCCGTGGACGAAAGATCAAATTTAATGACATCCACTTAAGATATTAGTGATATTACATCGTTTGAGGTTTACGAGATGGATGATAACAAAAGCAAGGCACTGAATGCGGCACTGAGCCAAATTGAGAAACAATTTGGTAAAAACACAGTGATGCGCTTAGGTGATAACACTGTTCAAGCGGTTGAAGCGGTTTCTACAGGCTCTTTAACACTTGATATTGCATTGGGTATTGGGGGCTTACCAAAAGGTCGTATCGTTGAAATTTACGGTCCTGAATCTTCTGGTAAAACGACAATGACGCTACAAGCCATTGCGCAATGCCAAAAAGCAGGTGGAACATGTGCCTTTATTGATGCGGAACATGCTTTAGATCCACAATATGCACGTAAACTTGGGGTAGATATAGATAACCTTTTAGTTTCACAGCCAGATAATGGTGAGCAAGCACTTGAAATCGCAGATATGTTGGTTCGTTCAGGTGCAGTCGATATGATCGTTGTCGACTCTGTAGCAGCGTTAACCCCTAAAGCCGAAATTGAAGGCGAAATGGGTGACTCTCACATGGGGCTACAAGCACGTTTGATGAGCCAAGCTTTACGTAAAATCACAGGTAATGCCAAGCGCTCAAACTGTATGGTTATCTTCATTAACCAGATTCGTATGAAAATTGGGGTGATGTTTGGTAGCCCTGAAACCACAACTGGTGGTAACGCATTGAAGTTCTATGCTTCTGTACGTTTAGATATTCGTCGTATTGGACAAGTTAAAGAAGGCGATGAAATTGTAGGTTCTGAAACCAAAGTCAAAGTTGTGAAAAACAAAATGGCGCCTCCTTTCCGTGAAGCACTTTTCCAAATTATGTATGGTAAAGGTGTAAATCACTTAGGTGAATTGGTTGATCTTGCAGTTGGACAAGAACTTGTACAAAAAGCAGGTGCTTGGTACTCATATCAAGGCGACAAAATCGGTCAAGGTAAAAACAATGTCATTCGACATTTAGAGGAAAACCCTCAATTGGCTCAAGAACTTGATCGTATGATTCGTGAAAAGCTTTTGACTACTGCCAATGCTGCACCAGCAGAAGAGAAAGAAGAAGAGCCTGACTTTTTAGATGTTTAAATTCAAACTTTATTTTTAAGTATATCAAGCACCTTTCGAGGTGCTTTTTTATGCTTAAAACCAAATTAAACAACAGTCGTTTTGATTTAATATAAATTTCAGTTATAACTAAGCTAAAGCCGTATGAATCAGATTCTTTCATTATTATGTATAAAAAAATCAGAACAATCACTGAATTTTTATTTTTTCGAGCTCCACGAATTCAAAAAAATAAACTCAAACAACACTTTCAAAATAAAACCATTTTAATTACAGGGGCAAGTTTTGGGATTGGTGAAGCATGTGCAAGGCTGTTATCTAATACACAATGCACGCTTGTGCTGATTGCACGCAGTACAGATAAGCTTATACAACTCAAAAGTGAATTAGAATCTTATTCATGCCATATTGAAATCATCTGCGCAGATTTATATCAATCCGATGCCGCAGAAGATATTTTTCAAAGCCTAAAAGCACGCAATATTCAGATTGATGTATTGGTCCATAATGCAGGAAAATCAATTCAGCGCTCTGTTTGGGATAGCTTGGATCGCCCACAGGATATCAATCGAACCATTGCGATTAACTATATCAACCCTGCCCAACTCACCCGTTTATTGTTAGCTGATTTAAAACACAAGCAAGGACAAATTATTGTGGTTTCAACCATCAATGCCAAACTATTTGCCCCGCCATTTTGGTCAACCTATCAAGCTTCGAAAACCGCAATGCAACAGTGGATTCTTGCCATTCAACCAGAATTGGCGGTTCATGAAGTACACGCAGGCTTAGTCTACTTGCCCTTAGTCCGTACACGAATGATTTTACCCACCAAACAATATCAGCAAATGCCGGCGATGCAAGCAAAAGACGCTGCTCAAGCGATTCTTGCGTGCCTAATTTATCGTAAACGACAATGGCAACCATGGTGGCTAGGAATTGCACAGATTAGTTCAATATTGTTGATCACACCGATTTATTATTTCTATAAACATTTACTCAAGCGAAAGTTATAAGATGAAATGGATCTTTTGGTTAAGATGGTGCATAAGTTTATGCTATAGCACTATTCAACATGGTATTCATTTATATAGTATTTTAGATTCACAGACACGTATTCAAAAAGATAAAACAGCATTTATTATTGATGATCGTCAAATTAGCTTTTTAGAATTAAAATGTAGAACTGACCAACTTATTTGTGAATGGCAAAAAACACATAAGCAAAAGCAACTTCCGCAACAGATTGGTTTAATGATGCAACAAGACCTAGATAGCTTGGCGGCCTTGTTTGCACTGAGCCGTTTAGGTAAAGATATCATTATTGTTAACCCCAGCCTCGTACAGCATAAACTTCAAGCTTTAATTGACCAGAAACAACTGCATCTTATTGGCGGTTTAGATACATTCACTCAACTCAATATCCAAAATTTTACGCTTATTCCTCCACCAAGTACTCAGCAGAAATTTCGTATAAAACCGACTTATTTTAATAAAATAAGTGTCTGTTCTTCTGGTTCAACAGGAATTCCTAAAGTTGCGACAAGGCAATCTAAACCACTACAAAGTTTACCTTTGTTAGACCTCATGCTCAGGAAACTAAAATTTTTTAAAATTAAGCAAATTTTTGTGATGACATCACTCTGCCATGCGGCAGGTTTAACTGCGAGTTTGATGGCGCTGAGCTTTCATAAAACTGTGATTTTGCAAAAACGTTTTGATCCGCAATCAGCCAAGCAACTGATTAAACACCATCAAATTGATTGTTTAAACTTAGTGCCCACTATTTTATACCGTTTAATTGAACTGAACGCTCCTCTGTGCTCAGTTCAATACATCATTACAGGTAGCGCGCCTTTAAGTGCGAATTTAGTCAAACACGCCCTACAGCACTATCCTCAGATACAACTGTTCAATCTCTATGGCAGCTCTGAAAGTGGAATTAACCTCTTGGCAACAACAGCTGATTTAAAACGAAATCCTGAAAGTATTGGAAAAGCTATTCAAGGTGTACAAATTAAAATTGTCGATTCTACGGGTCAGCCTTTAGAAAATGGCAATATCGGTATCTTATGGAGCAAATGTGCTTGGTCAATTACACCGAATCAATGGCTACAGTGCGGTGATTTAGCCGTACAAGATGCTGAAGGTTATTATTATTTAAAAGGTCGCTCTGATGATATGTTAATTTGCGGTGGAGTAAATGTTTACCCGATTGATTTGGAAAATATTTTATATACCCATAGCGCAATCAAATTTGCACGCGCTTATGCTATAGATGATGCTGATCTTGGACAATGCTTGGCAGTAGACATTATTCTCAATCAGGTACTCAATATTGAAGAATTACAATTATGGATTAGCGGCCAAACTCCACGCTACCTTCGTCCTAAATCAATTCGAATCATTGATCGAATAGAAACGGACAGTATCGGTAAACCAGTTTAGACGTTATTAAGCTCCGACATGAGGTGTTTTAAATCAAAATTTAAATCCTGATATCTGCTTATCTTCCCCTTTATACTCCCTTATATCCTCTGATATTTAGGAGAAGGAAAATTCATCCGTATAGCATTTGCACTGTTAAAAAAGTGAATTAAAGCTAAACTAGCGTTTATCTCTGAAATAAATAGATTGTTATCAATAGCTATGAGCCAAGCAAAATTTCCCAAATTGTTAGATTACCAAAAACTCAAACAGCAATTTGGTGAACAGGAAACAACAGAGTATCAGCATTCTACATCCCAACCTGCAGAACTTGATTCTGGCATTGCAAATGATGAACACGCCTTTAATGCGGAACAGGATCTTGCACCCAAACCACAGGGCTTAACAGGTACACGTTTGCGTTCTTATGCTTTTGCGGTGTTGACTCGAAAAGAATATTCCAAAGCTGATCTGATTGAAAAGCTGATGACCTATGCGCAAAGCCGTGAGGAAGTTTTAATTTTGGTTGATGAGTTGTCAGCGAATAACTACCAAAGTGACCAACGTGTCGCGGAAATGACTGTGCGTAGCCAAGTCCGTAGAGGTAAGGGCCCGAATCGAATCAAACTGGCTTTACGTGCCAAACAACTGGATAAAGCCTTAGTACAAGAGGATATTGCAGAAATTGATTGGTATGAACAGGCCTACCAATTGAAAGTTAAAAAATATGGTACAGAGGTCAGTAAAGATCCAAAAATTAAAGCCAAACAAATTCGCTTTTTACAATATCGTGGTTTTGAAATGGATGCGATTATGAAAGCAATTTCAAAAAAACCAAGTGATGATTGATGATGGCTAGTCGATACAATTCAAGATCAACTTTTCATTAAGATGTAGATTGAGAATCTATTGATAGAATTCCCTTCTCATTTTTAATTTGTTATAAATTCTAAGCGAATAAAATATCTTTTAGCACTGTACAAGCTATCATTTCATTCATCGATAAAACGATATGCGTATTCTCAATATAAGCTCAATAAGAGTGATAGATCTTTAGTCACGACTAAAAAATGATGGTTGAATTAAATCAGATGGTCTAAAGATTGAGAATATAAAATTTTCAGAAATTAAATAGCAAAGATGTTTTCAAAATGCAGGATATAAATCGAATGGATATATTGAGTTATTATTATTCGTAGATTTAGAAATCTGGTGGCAGCCCTACTAGCAAAATCTCGGCACATCGTATTTCTGATACCGTTGCTACCTTCCGGTCCTGGCGGGGTTTTCAGAGTACAATTGCGAAACCACCAGCAGGGCTACCATTGCAAGAACAGAGTATAGAGATTTTTAATTTTCTTTCAAGCCTAACATTGTGATTTTCTCAAGTTATTCATTCGTTTGCTTATTTCATCATCAATATGGTTAATTTTTAACAGAAATTCTAACTTTTCTTTTCAATAGCTCTTTGAACTTATCAAGCATCAGTCAATCTTCTACTGAATTTTATCTCAGCACTACTTCATAGATGACAGGCTTTAAAATACAAAAACGCTTCATATTACATTAGAATTAGCTGAAGATTGTAAAAGCATCTTGCAATTCCGTCCCTAGCCGTTTTTAATGATAACAATTATTGATTTTCAAATAGCCCATATCAGTGTATTTGAGAAATTTTGACTTTGATGGATTTTAAATTATGCTAAAAAAGCATGCCCTGTTTTCTATTGCCTTACTCAGTTCAGCATCTTTATATGCAATCCCTATAGAATCTCGTGGATTAAGTGATACTGCATCATCTCGAAATGATGTAACAAATTCACCAGCACCCATTGCTGGAAATATGAATTGGGATTTAATACAAAAGAATCAACAATTAGAAAATCAAATTCGTGAATTACGTGGCAAGATTGAAGAACAAGATCATGCCATTGATCAACTAAACAAAGAACTCACCAACCGCTATACCGATTTAGATCAGCGTCTTGAACTGCTCAATCAGAAACTTGAACCTGAAAGCAATCAACCAGAACAAGCACCTGCTGAAAATGCACCTGTCGATAGTTCAACCGCAACCGATCAAACAACCACTGCAAGCAAAGCTACAACGAATAGCACGGCACCAACAACGGCTCAAAATCCAGCAACACCAGCCAACAGTAGCAACAATACCAGTGATCCTGTTGCACTGGAAAAAGCAGCTTATACCATTGCTTTAGATGCCTATAAAAAAGGCGGTGCAAAACAAGCCATCGCCCCTATGCAAAACTTTATTAAAAACTACCCAAACAGCATTTATACTGGAAATGCTTATTTTTGGTTAGCAGAGTTCCAATTGGCAATTGATCCACCAAATTACAATGAAGCCAAGAAAAACTATGAAATCGTGGCAGCTAAATTTCCAAACTCGTCTAAAGCACCGCGTGCTTTATACCAACTTTATAGTATTGCCAAAGATGTCAACAAGAACACACAAACTGCGAATGTCTATAAAAGCAAACTGTTAAGCACCTACCCTAAATCAGAAGAAGCAGGTTTTTTCAAAAAAGGTTAATCCGCTTATTCACAATTTAGACAATAAAAAAAATGCCTCAATAGAGGCATTTTTTTATTGAAATCTTTAACAATTAACGCACGATACCGCGCTTAGATTCTAATACTGAATCAATCAATAACTGGACTTCTTCAACTTCTGGAAGGATCTCTTGACGAATTTTTTCAATGGCTTGTTCAGTGGTTAAATTCTCTTTATAGATCAATTTAAACGACTCTCTTAAGCCTTGAATCACATTCTTAGACCAGCCTTTACGACGCATCCCTTCAACATTCATACCATAAGCATGCGCAGGATTACCTGAAACCATGACATAAGCAGGAACATCTTTAAGAATCAGTGATGCACCACCAATCATACTATAAGAATCAATCTTACAGAATTGATGGATACCTGAATTCCCGCCCACAATGACGAAATCGCCAATGTGAACATGGCCAGCGATGCCGACATTATTTGCAAAAATATTGTTATTTCCAATCAAACAATCATGTGCAATATGCGTATTCACCATCAATAGGTTATTGCTTCCTATTTTGGTTAGGCCTCGATCTTGAACAGTGCCACGGTGTAAGCTGCAATGTTCACGGATTTTATTGTTGTCGCCAATTTCTAACCAAGTTTCTTCACCTTGGTATTTTAAATCTTGACAAATTTCACCTACACTTGCGAATTGGAAAATATCGTTATTTTCACCAATACGTGTATAGCCTCCAATCACAACATGTGAGTGAAGTTTGGTACCAGCACCAATCGTCACTTGCGGACCAATAATACAATATGGTCCAATTTGGACATCTGGTGCTATCACTGCAGAAGAGTCAATAATAGCGGTTGGGTGGATTAAGTCGTTATTGCTCATGCCTGCTCTAATTTCTGATGAGAAATGATAATTTCAGCGGTTGCTGCTACCACGCCGTCAACACTGGCAGTACATAAATACTTGTAAATGCCACGTTTTTGCATGAGTAATTCAGATTTTAGCACGAGTTGGTCGCCTGGTACGACTTGTTTTTTAAATCGTATTTTTTCAGCACCAGCGAATAAGAACAAAGAACCTGGTCTTGGTTTTTCATTATTCATGATAAAACCGAGCACACCAGAAACTTGTGCCATCGCCTCAACGATCAAAACACCCGGCATAATTGGATAGCCAGGGAAATGACCCTGCATAAATTCTTCATTAATTGAAACGTTTTTGTATCCTACAATCCCATTCTCTGTAACTTCAGTTACACGATCGACAAGCAAAAATGGATAACGATGTGGCAAATACTCGCGAATCGTTTGGGTTTGCATTGGTAATTCAGGAACCGTAAAAGGTAGAGATTTAGACTCAGTCATAATTATTTACGCGACTTTAAAGTTGATTCAATGGACTCAATTTGAGCCTGCATATGATCTATTTGTTTCACCAGTTTGGTCAATGGCACATCTGCTAATTGTCTTAAGCGCACAACCGTCCTTTTCCAATGATTTGTTTCAAATTGTCCAGTACCTGAAGAATAAGAACCTGCCTCAGAAATACTTTTTGTGACTATTGACATTCCAGTAATTGTGACATTATCAGTGATTTTTATATGCCCTACGATACCAACAGCACCTGCAAGAACACAGTTTTTGCCAATAATCGTACTGCCCGCAATACCACACTTGGCTGCGATGGCAGTATTCTCGCCAATCTGCACGTTATGGGCGATTTGCACAAGGTTATCAATAATGACACCATCATGAATGATTGTATCGTCCAAAGCACCACGATCAATACTGCAATTTGAACCTATACGCACATCATTTCCGATACGTACAGAACCCAATTGAGCTATACGATTCCACTTTCCTTGATAAGGTGCAAAACCGAAGCCCTCTCCACCAATTGCAGTATTGGAATGAATCCGAACACGATCTGCGATTTTTGTTTGGCCTGTAATGGTCACATGAGAATCGACAAAACCGTCTTTGCCAATTTCAACACCATCATCAATTTTGCTGTGCGATTGGATAATTGTATTTGCACCGACCACACAATCATCACCAATCACAACATAATGACCAATATAAGTATCATCTGCAATAATTGCTGAAGGAGAGATTTGCGCAGTACTTTCAATACCCCGTTTGCTTACTTTAACTTCAAATTGATGGGTTAAAATTGCAAAGGCAAGATAGGGATTGCGGACAACAATAAAATTTTGGCAATTTGTAAGCTGATCTTTTAACTCTGCCGTGACGATCAAAGCACCGGCTTTAGAGTTTTGAGCTTCATTCAAGTATTTGTCGTTATTTACAAAAGAAATATGATTGGATTGCGCATGTTCTAAACTTGCAAGCCCATCTAAAACATAATTGGGTTGACCAATTAGCTCACCTTGTACAAGCTGAGCTAATTCATCGAGATGAAAACGATTTGATTTCATTGATTATTTAATTGCATTAACCTTTTGGATCATTTTAGCAGTTAAATCACTCTTTGCGTCATAAGCAAGTGCTGAATTTTTATTCAAAACAAAGTCTAATCCACCTTCTTGGCGCAATTGTTCAGCAACTTGCTTTACACGAGCCTCAAAAGTTGCATTAGTGTTTTGAATTGTACTTTGTACTTTCGCCTGAACACCTTGCTGAATCGTTTGGAATTCATTCACTTTTGCTTGGTATTGCGCATTAATTTGTTGAACATTTGCACCTTGAGCCTGTGCTTTTTGTTTCAATGCTTCAATATCTTTGGTGATTTGTTCAAGCTTCGTGGTTTGCGGCTTAACAGATTGTTCTAAACTTGCATTCTGTTGCTTTAAGTAAGTGCTACTTTCTACAACTTTTTCTAGATCAACTACACCAAAACCTGCCGCTTGAACCAATCCAGCAAAACCCAAACCTAGGCCCATAATGGCCATTTTCATTGTTTTCATCATTGTTCCTTATATTAAGTTAAATCTCGTGAAAAGATCGTACTTAGAAAGTACGACCAATCTCGAATTGAATATTTTTAGTTTCATCGCCCGGTTTGTCATTCAATGGGAATGCATAACTCAACGAAAGTGGACCAATCATGGTAATCCATGTAAAGCCTACACCCACGCTATAGCGCATGTTACCAAAATCAAAATCGTTATTGTCTTTACAGTACTGTTTCGCATTAATTGGTGTTTTTGAACCATCTAGATAAAGATCACCAGTCGCTGTACTACAGTCTGTATCAAAGACTTGCGCACCTTCAGCAAAGATTACAGGACGAATCTGACGTGCCCAATCACCCTTGAATGGAACAGGTAAAGCCAATTCTGTCCCGAATTGTATTAAAGCATTACCGCCCACTTCTTCAGGATCATAATCTTTGGTTTTTCTTTCGTTATAGGTCACACCCGGGTATTTTGGACCTAATGTACTGTTGTCATAACCACGGACTGAACCAAAACCGCCTGCATAGAAGTTTTTATAGAATGGTAAATCATTACCATAACCCAACTTACCGTAGCCACGTAATACGAAATCACGGCCTAATGGGAAATAAGTCTGTGCATCGTAAGTAACTTTTTGATATTCAACATCACTACCTGGTAATGCGATTTCAGCATTGACACGATGTGAAGTACCGTTTGTAGGGAAAATTGGGCGGTTCAGTGTATTATATGACCAACCCAAGTTTAAATTATAAGTTAAGAACTTACCTTCAAAGGCACTTCCATACTCATCTAAGGCCAATGTATCAAATTTGTCATCAACACAATTCGTTGCTAAATCATAGCCTTCAGGCAGTGGATTTGGTGCTGGCTTACCTTTTTCAGTATCAATATCTTTTTGTGACTTATATGACCCAGCACAATAACTACTTGTATCGGTTTGCTTACCACCATGCGCTAACAAATAATCGCGTACATAGGTAGAAACATAAGCACCAGTGGTTACTTTAGTTTGATCAATGTTTAGACCCGCACTAATATTTTGGTTTTCATCAATTGGATAACCAAATGTAACACCACCACCAATACTATCCGTCACATAGTTGTTAACGTTATAGTCGTCATTCAACTTTGTTTTACGGTAGTACATGTTATAACCGCGGCTGACACCATCAATAGTAAAATATGGATCAGTGACACTTAAATTATAGTAATCTTGGGTTTCTGAACGAGATAAATCGATAGAAACTCGATTACCTGTACCCATAAAGTTGGTTTGACTTAAACCTGCTTGGAATGTGATACCACCATTCTGAGAATAACCCACAGCCAATGTACTGGTACCGGAATGTTGCTCTTCAACATCAATATTCAAGTCCATTTGATCTGGTAAGTTCGGTACACGAACAGGTTTAACATCAACTTTACTAAAGAAGCCAGTACGTTCTAAACGGACTTTAGACAAGTCAATTTTTTCATTACTCGCTAAAGCACCTTCCATTTGGCGCATTTCACGACGTAATACTTCATCCGCAGTTTTGGTATTACCGGTAAAGTTAATACGACGCACAGTCACTTGTTGACCAGGATTAATATAGTAATTTAAGTCAACAATATGGGTTTCATTATTGATTTCAGGAACTACATTTACTTCTGCATAGTAGTAACCTGCATTACCATATTTACGGAGTAGTAACTGCTTTACAGCATTGACTTTTTCTTGAGAATACGTTGTGCCATCTTTATAGATTTGCAACGCTTGTAGATCTTCAGTCTTATAAAGAGCATCACCTAAAAATTTAGTTTCACCAAATTTAAATTGCTCACCTTCATTCACTGAAACTTCAATAAAGATATGTTTTTTATCTTCACTGAGATTTAGATTTGAACTGTTAATATCAAAATTGATATAACCCTTATTGAGATACAGTGCACGTAATGATTCTAAACTTGCTGACATTTTTTCACGTGCATAACGGTCATTTCGAGAAATAACCGATAACCAGCCACTCTCTTTTACCGCAAACGCTTGTTTAATGTCGTCTTCTTTAAATACCGTATTACCGATAATATTGATATCAAAGACTTTTGCAGGTTTACCTTCATTAAAATTGATATTCAATTCAACACGGTTATTTGGTTGAGCAACTTGGTCAACTTTAATATCTGCATCATAACGACCTTGTTGAGCATATTGCTGCTCCAACTCAGTTTCTAAAGTTTGTAAGGCAGATTTTTTAAGCACCTCGCCTTCGGCCAAGCCCATTTTCTTTAAACCATCCGCCAAAGCTTCTTTGGGAATCAGTTTATTGCCTTTAAAATTAATTTTTGAAATTACTGGACGCTCAATCACTTTAAACACCAAGACACCGTCTTGGTTCGATGCTTGTATATCATCAAAAAGATTTGAAGCATACAAAGCACGAATTGAATCCGCAATTGCAGGATCATTGACACGGTCACCACTATTTATTGGTAAAAGTGCAAGAACATTTTGTTGCGTTAAACGAACCAAGCCATCCACACGGATATCACGTGCAATGAACTCATCTGCCGCTTGTACTTGCTGTACAGCTGCCATCGCACTAACGAGCGCTAATGGCATAAATAAATGTGAGTGCTGCATGCCTATTATTTTCCAGTAAGTTAATCCACAATTGCGTTATAAACGCATAAAATCATTAAATATTGCAAGAAGCATCATGCTACCAAGCAGTACCATACCAATTTTTAACCCAACCAATTGTATTTGTTCAGAAACAGGCTTACCACGAATTGCTTCAATAATGTAATAAACCAAATGACCGCCATCTAACATCGGAATAGGCAATAAATTTAAAATCCCCAAACTCACACTCATCAAAGCCATAAATGAAATGAATGTCTGCCACCCCATTTCAGCACTTTGACCGGCGACTTTTGCAATAGTAATTGGACCCGACAAATTATCTAAGCCAATTAAACCACGCACCATCTTCACCATCGAATTCAAAATCATTGCTGAAAGTTGCCCAGTCTTTTCAACAGCAACAACAAAAGCTTCAGCAGGATTATATTGAATTGTTTGTTTATATTCAGTAGGAATTGTCAGTTTATCAGTCTGTGCTTGCACACCTAACATACCTGTTACATTTCCCATATTGTCACGTTTACCTTGCGGCATTACTTGTAAATGTACAATCTGCCCTTGGCGTAACACATCAACTTTAAGTAACTTTTCAGGTGATTTTTGTACCACATCTACCACATCAAACCAATCTTTCATTTTCACTTGATTGATTGAAATGATCTGATCACCTTCTTTCATCCCTTGACGAATAGCAGCGCCATCACTACTTAACTTATAAACAGTTGCAGGAATCTGTGGACGATATGGGGTAAAACCCAATACATCAAATGGTGACTGACTTTGGTCTTTTAAGAAATTCTTGATCGGTAAAGCAAAACCCTGCGGCTGACCATTACGCTCAACTTGAACATCGATATGACCTGTTTCACCAACACGGTCAACGATGGCATAGTTGAGTTTCTCCCAAGTGCTGACATCGGTTCCATCTACAGCAACAATTTTATCGCCAATCTGCATTTGAGCTGTTGCAGCAGGAGTATTGGGTAGAATTGCACCAACACGAGTATTTAATTGCTCTTGTGCAGGAAGAAATAGAATCCAGAACAGGACTATTGCAAAAATCAAATTGATCAATGGACCTGCAGCAACAATCGCAATACGCTTCCATGGTGGCTGACGGTTAAATGCTAACGGCAAATCTTCCGCACTGACATTCCCCTCACGCTCATCCAACATTTTGACATAACCACCCAGTGGTAATGCTGAAAGTTGATATTGGATGCCTGATTTTTTCGATGTCCACTTCAACAAAGTTGGACCAAAACCAATCGAATAGACCAGTACTTTTACACCGAGTTTACGTGCAACCCAATAATGTCCAAATTCATGAATTGCAATCAGCGGACCAAGTAAGAATATGGCAGCAACAATGATAAATAGAACACTCATGATCAGCTTCCCAATTGTGTAATGCGTTGTGAAGCAACTTGGCGCGCAAGTTGATCTGTCTGCAAAATCGTGTCAATCGAATCTGCCAAACCATTTTGAACGTGATTTAAGGTATGTTCAACCACTTGTGAAATTTCTAAAAATGCAATTTTTTGCTGTAAAAAAGCACTCACAGCAATTTCATTAGCAGCATTGAGAATAGACGGTGCCAATCCACCCGCCTGCATAGCATTTCGAGCCAGTTTAAGCGATGGAAAACGCGTAATATCTGGCGCTTGAAAATCGAGTTGTGAATGGACAAATAAATCCAGAGGCGGGACATGAGTTTGAATCCGCTCAGGCCATGCAAGTGCATGCGCAATCGGCGTACACATATCAGGATTACCCATTTGAGCCAAAGTTGAACCATCCACATATTGAACCATTGAATGAATGATACTTTGTGGATGAACAACAACTGTAACAAATTGTTCTTTAATTGAAAATAAATGACATGCTTCGATCAATTCTAAACCTTTATTCATCAGGGTTGCAGAATCTACCGAGATTTTTTGTCCCATCGACCAATTTGGATGTTTACAGGCTTGTGCAGGTGTTACAGTTTTTAATTGTTCTAAGCTAAAATTTAAAAATGGGCCGCCTGAAGCAGTCAACAAAACTTGCTTGACCCCCAATTGAGGCTCACCATTGGATTGAATCTGTAAATAATTTTGAGGAAGACATTGAAAAATAGCATTATGTTCAGAGTCGACAGGCAGTAACAAAGCATGATGATCTTTAGCTGCTTGAAGCATAATATCGCCAGACATCACCAAGGCTTCTTTGTTGGCAAGTAAAACGCGCTTACCTGCTTTCACTGCGGCTAAAGTAGGCAACAATCCTGCTGCACCAACAATTGCTGCCATCACTACATCTACATCAGGATGTTCCGATACGGTGATAAGCCCTGCTTCATCTGTGAGGATTTCGATATCAAAAATATGATGTATAGCAAGTAGCTGTTGTAACTCATCTACTTTATCCGATGGTACAACAACACATTTCGGTCGATATTGTTTGCATATTTCACTGAGTTCTTTGATTCGACTAAATCCAGTCACTGCAAAAACTGAATACTGGTCCGAATGCTGTTGTAAAATTTTTAAAGTACTGCGTCCAATAGAACCTGTAACACCTAATATACAAACAGATTGTGACATCTATAAATCTACACCAATAAGTTTTAAAACATACATGCCAGCTGCAAAAAACGGAGCCGCAGCAAGCAATGAATCTATACGATCAAGCACCCCACCATGTCCTGGAAGGATACGACCTGAGTCTTTAATTCCTGCACGACGTTTAATCATAGATTCAAACAAGTCGCCAAGCACAGAGCTAAACACAGTCACAATAGACAAAACTAGGAAAAGAATATGTTGTGGAAGCGTTAAATGTAGATAAATCGATTGAACCACAATGATCACAATCGCAACAGTGACAATCCCACCAATTAAGCCTTCGATTGATTTGTTTGGACTCACATCTGGCGCAAGTTTACGCTTACCAAATTTACGCCCAACAAAATATGCACCACTGTCCGCGCCCCAAACCAACAGGAACAGATACATCAACCACCAAGGTGAGCTTTTCCAAACTTCAAAAATAGCGGTAACTGCGGCACTGATTAGAACCAAGCCAACAATATTTAAAGTGATATTGTACCAGCCATCGTATTCAGGATAATGTTTTACCCAATACAGACTACACAACCAAGTGAGAATAGAGGCACTCCAAAGAATAAGTGCCAAATCATTAAAATATAATGCTAACCCTGAAAAAAAAGCGGTCAATACGCCGAATCCAGCAGCTTTAATTTTCTTCACATGGTCAGATTCATGTGGCATGAGTTTAAACCACTCATAACCTGCTGCCCCAGCTGCGATAATCATTAACACTAACATTGGATATTGAGATTTTGTTGCAAACATACAACTCAGTACAACTGCCACCAATACCAATGCGGTTATAATCCGCTCTAACATTATAAATTCTCTATATGTTCTTGTTGAATTTGTTCAGAGGTTTTTCCGAAACGTCTTTCACGCCCTGAAAAAATATTGAACGCATGATCCAACTCTTGCACTGTAAATTCTGGCCATAATGTCTCAGTAAAATATAACTCAGCGTATGCAGCCTGCCACAGTAAGAAATTAGACAGTCGGTAATCACCGCCTGTACGAATCAATAAATCCACGGGTGGCAAATCCCCCAAACTTATTTGTTGTGCAAATAACTCAGTATTGATTTGATTCACATCAATTTGTTGATCTTTAACCTGTTGCGCAAGTTTACGTGCAGTATCTGCGATATCCCACATACCACCATAACTAATTGCAATTGTTAAAGTCATGTTACTGAACTTAGCAGTCCTTTGTTCAGCATGCAACATTAATTCACGTAGCTCTGGAGAAAGCCGACTACGATCACCAATAAATCTCAACGAAATTTCGAATTTTTCCATCCGTGGAATTTGCTCATGAATTGTGTCTTCCAACAATTTCATTAACAAATCAACTTCATACTGTGGTCGATTCCAGTTTTCACTTGAGAAAGCAAACACAGTAAGCGCCTGAACGCCAACTTTACGACAATGCTCTACAATCGGATCTAGGACATTTTTACCTTCACGGTGTCCGTCACCTTTTTGCAGTTGTTTCTTTTTTGCAAAACGATTGTTGCCATCCATGATGATGGCAACATGTTTTGGAAGATGGTTGTCTTCAGATGTGGTCATTTAAATCTTAGACCTTCATCAATTCAGCTTCTTTCGCAGCAAGACGTTTGTCCACTTCAGCAACAAATTTATCGGTAATTTTTTGGATATCATCGCCTGCACGACGCTCATCATCTTCAGAAATTTCTTTATCTTTTAATAATGATTTGATATCGCCTAAAACATCACGGCGGATATTACGAATCGCAACTTTGGCATTTTCTGCTTCGTTACGTGCAACTTTCTGCATATCTTTACGTGTTTCTTCTGTCAAAGCTGCCATTGGCACACGAATCGCATCAGCAGTTACTGGGTTTAAGCCCAAATCTGATTCACGGATTGCTTTATCAATTGCAGAAACCATTGAACGTTCAAATGGTTGAACTAACAAAGTACGTGAATCTTCAACACCCACGTTAGCCACTTGGTTTAACGGCACGTCAGAACCATAGTAAGGAACCATAACTCCATTTAGGATCGATGGATGCGCACGACCTGTACGAACCTTTGCAAAACCATGTTCCAAAGACTCCAATGACTTATTCATACGGTCTTCTGCGTCTTTTTTAAGATCGTTAATCATATGATCTTCCTTACTTATTTATCTAAATGTGTATGAGGTCTAATGACATTTCATAAACAGGCGAAGTGTCAATACACCCTAATCTAAAATTGCAGTAGTATAAAGAGCTTTACTACCCACGTACATTAGTTTGTAACGTGAGTGCCCTCTTTTTCGCCCATTACCACAGAAAGCAAAGCACCAGACTTGTTCATATCAAATACTTGAAGTGGCACATTGTGATCGCGGCATAAGCAAATTGCAGTTAAATCCATGACACCAAGTTTCTCATCTAAAACTTCATCAAAACTTAAATGGTCATATTTAACAGCATCATCATATTTACTTGGGTCTTTATTGTAGACACCATCAACTTTAGTGGCTTTTAAAATAAGATTTGCTTCAATTTCAATACCACGTAAGCACGCTGCAGTATCCGTTGTAAAGAATGGATTACCTGTTCCTGCAACAAATACACACACCTCACCTTGAGTTAAGTGGCGAATTGCATCACGGCTTGAATAGGCTTCAACTACTGCACCAATTGGTAATGCTGACATTAAACGGGTTTTGATGTTACGGCGAACCAAAGCATCACGTAAAGCCAAACCATTCATTACCGTAGCAAGCATACCCATTTGGTCACCCGTTACACGGCCAACCAAACCATCTTTTTGCAATTGACTACCACGGTATAAGTTACCACCACCCACCACGATACCCACTTGCACACCCAAACCAACCAAGTGAGCAATAGATAAAGACATTTGATCTAAGACTTGGGCATCAATCCCCATGTCTTTATTACCCGCAAGCGCTTCACCCGAAAGTTTCAGCAAAATTCGCTCATAGCGTGGCTTTTTAGAATCTAACATCACAAAACTCCAATACTTATATCTACAATTTTATTCGTATTTAATCAAATCGAAATCGGCAACACTTAAGCTGATTTAACGCGAATCAACTTGGCAAATAAATCGTATTCATCTGCATCTGTAATTTCGACTTCAAGTAAATCACCAGCTTTAATCACTGACTTATCAATATCTTCAACAAAAACATTACCATCAATCTCAGGTGCATCTGCATAAGAGCGTGCAACTGCGACTGGGAATTCTTCTTCAAGATCATCCACTAAAACCGTCATGGTTTGACCAATACGACTTTGCAGTTTTTCAGCAGAAATCGCTTGTTGAACTTCCATAAAACGTTCATAGCGTTGTTGCTTAATTTCTTCAGGAACATGATCAGGCAAATCGTTGGCTGTTGCACCTTCTACAGGTGAGTAGGTAAAGCAACCTACACGATCAAGTTTCGCCTCTTGTAACCAGTCCAATAACATTTGAAAATCTTCTTCAGTTTCACCAGGGAAACCCACGACAAATGTTGAACGAATAACCAATTCAGGACATTTTTCACGCCATAATTTTAGACGTTCCAAGGTATTTTCACTATGAGCTGGTCGCTTCATCAATTTTAAGATGCGCGGACTGGCGTGTTGAAAAGGAATGTCTAAATATGGAAGAATTTTACCCTGTGCCATTAAGTCAATAACCGCATCCACATGTGGATATGGATAAACATAATGTAATCGCACCCAAATCCCTAACTGACCGAGCGCTTCGCACATGTCATAGAATTTGGTTTTAACAGGCTGACCATTCCAGAAATCAAGCTTATATTTGGTATCTACACCATAAGCGGAGGTGTCTTGAGAAATCACCAAGACTTCTTTTACACCCGCTTTTTTTAACGCCTGTGCTTCATTTAATACAGAGCCAACAGGACGTGACACAAGATCACCACGCATGCTTGGAATAATGCAGAATGTGCAACGATGGTTACAGCCTTCTGATATTTTTAAATAAGCATAATGTTTAGGTGTTAAACGAATACCTTGTTCAGGTACAAGATCTACAAAAGGATTGTGTTTCGGTGGTTCTGGAACATACTGATGGACAGCTTCCATCACATCTTGATACGCCGCCGCACCTGTCACTTTTAAGACATTTGGATGCATCTGGCGAATTTTATCTTCATCTTTACCCAAACAGCCTGTGACAATCACACGACCATTGGCGCTCATGGCTTCACCAATTGCGTCTAAAGACTCTTGTACTGCAGATTCAATAAAACCACAGGTGTTCACAACAACTAAATCAGCACCTTCATAATCTGATGCAACATCATAACCTTCAGTCTTTAACTGCGTTAAAATGCGTTCAGAATCTACCAATGCCTTAGGACAACCTAAAGATACAAAACCGACTTTGGGGGACTTCATGAATCTGCGCTCCACTATAATCCGCGTATTGTATGACTTTTCAAGAGATAAAAACAGGTGGAAACTGCACTCTTTGTATAATGCACCAAAATACATCCAATCAAATAATTAAATTACTACAATGCACCATTTTGGAACAATATAATGATAGCGTAATATGAATGCAGGTTTTTACACTTGAATAAAGCGCAGTAAATGCGCAATTTTTATCATTCATGTAAGAAAACTGCGCAGTATTTAAAAGTTGGCGTGCATCTTGCTTTATATCAGGACGATTTAACCGATTCAATCACCCATGTTCGGGAAAATAGAAAACGAGGTGCAGATGCCATTGCGCTATTTAAAGACAGGAAAGCTCTGCTAATGGATCAATACCCAACAATTGATTATAGATTGCTGGTGGATAATTTAACCACTGCAATTCTTTTGGTCGATTGTAATTTAAATATTTTTTATCTTAATTCATCATGCGAAGCATTGTTTGATATTAGCTTGCTTCGTGCGGCAGGTCAGCCAGTGATTAATATTTTACATGCACCAAATGATAGCTTTAATACCTTGGAAGCATTAAACAACTCAATAAAAACAGGTCAAGCCTATACACGCCGTGAAGCGATTATCAATGTTAACTTTAAAGACATGCATGTTGATTATTCCGTGTCGCAGTTAAATACAGGAAGATCCTATCACCCATTACTATTAATTGAATTAAATCCGATTGATCGGATGCTTAAAATTTCTAAAGAAGAAAACCTGATTCAACAACATCAAGTTGCACGTCAACTAATTCGAGGTGTTGCACATGAAATCAAAAACCCATTAGGTGGAATTCGTGGTGCAACTCAACTGCTTGCTCGTAGTTTAAATGATCCACAGTATGCAGAGTTCACCGATATTATTATCAGTGAAGTCGATCGTTTAAGAAACCTTGCTGATACTATGCTGGGTTCACGTCAGCTCCCGAGCTACGAACTGGTCAACGTGCATGAACCGCTTGAACGTGTTCGCTCTTTAATTGTAAATCAAACCAAGAAAAAAATTAAAATCACACGAGACTATGACCTTTCATTGCCTGATGTCAAAGCAGATCGCGATCAACTGATTCAAGTGATGCTCAATATTAGTGTCAATGCGGTACAGGCGATGACTGAGAATCGTGAGTTTTTTATTGATCATCAACCTGAACTGATGTTGCGTACACGCATTCAACGTTTGGTGACGATTAATGGCGTACTGAATAAATCAGCCATTCGTATTGATATTGAAGACAATGGCCCTGGTGTTCCTGAAGAAATTTTAGAATCCGTGTTTTATCCGCTTGTGACTGGCCGTGCCAAAGGAACAGGTCTTGGCTTAAGCATCGCACAAAATATCATGCATCAACACAACGGAATGATTGAATGCCAATCCGTTCCTGGAAAAACAGTATTTAGCTTATATCTACCTTGGGAGTCTAACCATGTCGCATAATAAAATTTGGGTGATCGATGACGACCGTGCTATGCGTTGGGTCTTGGAAAAAACATTTAAAGAAGAAGGCTTCGATGTCACCAGTTTTGAAGAAGCACAATCTGCTTTAGATCAGCTTCAAAGCAATGCGCCAGATGTCATTCTCACTGATATTCGTATGCCCGGCATTGATGGTTTAACCTTCCTAGGAAAAGTCAAAGGAAGTTATCCTGATCTGCCTGTGATTATTATGACAGCACACTCAGATTTAGAATCTGCAGTATCGAGCTATCAAACAGGTGCTTTTGAATATCTTCCAAAGCCATTTGATATTGATGAAGCACTTGCACTGGTGAATCGTGCCATTTTGCACATCAACAAGCTGCAACAACAAGAATCTGCCAAAGTCACCCCAATTCAATCTACTGAGATTATTGGTGAATCCCCTGCAATGCAGGAAGTTTTCCGCGCCATTGGACGTCTATCTCAATCGCATATTACCGTATTGATCAACGGGGAGTCTGGGACAGGTAAAGAGTTAGTTGCGCATGCTTTACATCGCCACTCACCAAGAAGCAGTAAACCATTTATTGCTTTAAACATGGCTGCTATTCCAAAAGATTTGATTGAAACTGAATTATTTGGTCATGAAAAAGGCGCATTTACTGGTGCCAATACTCAACGCCAAGGTCGTTTTGAACAAGCCAATGGTGGAACCTTATTCTTAGATGAAATTGGTGATATGCCATTTGAAACACAAACACGTCTACTCCGTGTTTTGGCAGATGGTGAATTTTATCGTGTTGGTGGTCATATTCCAGTTCGTGTTGATGTTCGTATCGTGGCAGCAACACATCAAGATTTAGAAAAATTGGTCAATGATGGCCGTTTCCGTGAAGACTTATATCATCGCTTAAATGTCATTCGTATTCATATTCCTAAACTTGCTCATCGTTCTGAAGATATTCCGATGTTGGCGCAACACTTCTTGGCACGCGCGGGTAAAGAACTCGGGGTTAGTCCAAAAATTTTACGCCCAGAAACGCAAGAGTATATTCAAAAACTGCCTTGGCCAGGCAACGTACGTCAACTCGAGAATACCTGCCGCTGGTTAACTGTGATGATCACAGGCCGTGAAGTTTATCCAGAAGACTTACCGTCAGAATTAAAACAAATTCCAATCAATAAATCTGATGATCAAGGTCAAGCACAAGCTGGTATCGACCGTGTTGCATTACATCATTGGGATGAGTTACTGGCGCAATGGGCGATTCAAAAGCTTAAAAATGGTGAAATGAAAATTTTAGACATTGCCACCCCAATGTTTGAACGTACTTTGATCATCGCAGCACTTCAACAAACCCGTGGTCGTAAACGTCATGCTGCTGAACTCTTAGGTTGGGGGCGTAACACTTTAACGCGCAAACTCAAAGAATTAGGCATGGATTCTGCTGAAGATGATGAAGAGGAAGACAAAACTGTTTTAGCCGAATAATAAGCCATTCATAAATATAAAGTTTACTCCAACCATATTTCGTAAGAATATGGTTGTTTTTTATTGGCTCATGGTGAAAAATAGCCTCGTGAAATTTAAACTTTATCGTCTAGGATAAAAATGAACAAAACTGTTGTTTTACTTAGCTTACTTTCTATTTTTAGTGTTGCTTGTTCTAAAAACAAACCGCATGAGAGTTCTGAACATCAAGCAGAAGCACCAGTGGTTAAAAAAGTACATAAAGCAGCCAATTCAGATAATTGCTTTAAGTTAGAACCCAACAAACAGTTTACTCTAAACAACAATGAAGAGACAGAAATCCAGATTGTTCCCACAACCTTTAACAATCAGAATGCGATAGCAATCGTTAGACAAGGCGCAGGTGTGCGCACAGATTATATCTACGATTTAACTGGCCGTACCATGCTTGCAAACTTAGACTATGGTATTGCTGCGCTCGGATCAAATCCTAATGATGTGCTGGTAAAAACCACCTATCAAGCCCCGCTTCCAACATTCCCATCCAATCTCAAACCACAGCAAAAGTTCCAAATGACGTATAACGCAGTCATTGAGTCGCAAATGGATAACAATGATAAATCTGAAAACAATAAGACGATTGACTTAGTATTTGTAGGGTTTGAGGATCTGACTTTAATTGACAATGATGACAATACCTTAAAGTTCGATAATGCATGTCATTTCATTTCTCAAATCGGAGATGAAACATTGGATGAATGGTATGCTGAAGGATATGGGCAAATTAAATATGTTAAAAAGAAACAGAATGGCGACGTAAAAAGTAGCGAAGCAATTGGCGATGACCCACAGCCTTAATTTAAATCAGCCAGTCAACACCTATTGACTGGCTTTGATCATTTTTATGTTCGATTTTACTTTAAAAAGCCTGATACCAAATTCATGACATTTTGAATATCACCATTGGCTTCAGTGTGATCTGTTGCATCACCTTGTGGTGTGAGTGAATCAATAATTTGCGGTAATACTGTAGAGATTGCACCATATACTTCATTGGTCGGAACATTAGCTTGTTGAGCAACTTGTTCAACTTGCTGACCTCCAAATAAACTCTGGATTTGCTCTACATTTACAGCACCATTACCTTGTGACGGATCGACCCAACTTTGAACTTGCCCACCTAAACCTGCACCTTGTAATTTAGCTAAAGCACCTTGTAGGCCACCATTTTGTTGAATCCAACCCAAGACTAATGGCACAACTGCAATCAATAAAGATGAGGCATTAAAACCACCCGCTTGTGGTGCTTGTTGTTGTTGTCCACCTGTCAAACCACCTAAAACTGAACCGAGTACGCCACCCAATCCACCTTGTGATTGTTGTTGCTGCCCACCCAAGCCACCGAGTACTGAACCAAGTACCCCGCCCAATCCACCACCAAGCCCGCCTTGTGATTGTTGTTGTCCGCCAAGTGCTTGTTTTGCCAGAATTTCCACAATATTGGTTAAATCTGTCATGAGTTTTCCTTTTTTAAGTTTTATGAGACAAGTACAGCATACTTGGCTTTAACCTATTCACCAAAATTGGAATTGTTAAATTTTGCAATAGCTTAAGGCTGATTTTTATAACCAAAATAAAACCATTACCAACGAAATTTATTCCAGTTTTCTGGGTTGGCCCAGAACTTAGAATTAAACCAATCTGGTACATGTTTATAGGTCAAAATATTAAACTGCCAAAGTGCAAAATCATTTTGATGTAAGGTTTTATCAATCAGTTGAGTAAAACCAAGCGATCTGAGCAACTGTTCATCTTTTAACTGACATGCCACGACGATTCGTTTTGCCAGTAAATCACGCAACTTGACCAATAACTGGGATTTCTGCAAATCAGTCACCCCAGACATTTCATCTGTATCTAAAAGTACAAATCCTAAATCATATCGTTGCGTAAAAGGCAGACTTAAAAACTCAGATACGTTAAAATAGGACCATTGAATTGAATAATTTATAGGGTATTGCGCCAAATTTTGCCCAATACACAATGCAGTTTGAATTGGCTGTTCTTGCGATAAATCGTCTAGCATTGAAGTGATGACATTTTGCTCAGCCATAACTGCACCTTTTTTGAAGCGAGTAATTAAACATGGAACTACAAGGCATTTGTCATAAAATGCATGCAGGTCTTAAAGACCTTAGTGTAACTGATCAACAAACACATAAGGCAAATGTTGAATATAAATTTATATTAGATCGCTCAGAAACCGAGCTACCATTTAGTTTAGGCCAGGAAATTGAGATTGAAGCGACAGGAAATATTTATTGTGTTTCTTGTGGCGCAAAAACACCGAAGTCTTATTCGCAAGGCCACTGCTTTAAATGCATGAAAACCAAGGCGTCTTGCGACATGTGTATCATGAAGCCTGAAACTTGCCATTATCATTTAGGTACTTGCCGTGAAGATGATTTTGCTCATGAAGTTTGCTTTCAACCGCATATAGTCTATCTAGCAAATTCAAGTGCTTTAAAAGTGGGGATTACCCGTCTAGGTCAAATGCCAACACGCTGGTTAGACCAAGGTGCGACCCAAGCACTGCCTATTTTAAAAGTCGGTTCGCGCCGTCTTTCAGGTCAACTTGAAGTCATGTTTGGAACACAGGTTGCAGATAAAACGGATTGGCGAAAGCTACTTAAAGGTGAAGCTGAACCGATTGATCTGATTGAAATTCGTAATGAATTGGTTCAAGAATTTTCCCCTAAGATTCAAAGTATTCGCGATGAATTTGCACAAAATCTTGAATTTAATGAAACGGTCGAATTGTTAGAAAATGAATTACCTCGTGAATTTATCTACCCTGTAGATATTTATCCTGAAAAAGTTAAATCGCACAATTTAGATAAAACCCCAGTTATCCGAGGCAAGCTACAAGGAATCAAAGGTCAATATCTAATTATGGATACGGGTGTCATCAATATTCGTAAATATACAGGTTATGAACTTAAAGTTCGGGCGGAATAGTTTTACCCCCAAACCCAAAAATTGATTCATACATACTCCTCTTTATCTTAGATTTAGAGGAGTTTTTATTGGTTAAATGTTTTCTAAACTGATTACAAGGTTTTCCAGCAGCTCGATAAGCAAACGAATATTTGCTTAATCAGTTGCTAGCGTTAAAAATCAAGGTGTTAAAATTGCTAAAATCGCCTGAACCGGATCTTCACTATTTCCAGCCAAAAGTTGCTTGTGCATGGTGATCAATTGCATCACCTGAATTTGTGCAGTTTCAATATTCATTAATTTTTCAATTTGATTGGCCAATTTTTCTGCTGTGGCATCTTGTTGAATAAGCTCTTGAATCACTTTTTTACCCGCAATAATATTCGGCAATGAATAATACGGAATTTTCACTAAAAATTTAGCAATCACATAAGTTAACCAATTCAACTTATAAAAAGTCACCATTGGGCGATGTAACAATAATGCTTCAAGTGTCGCTGTCCCTGATGCCAAAGCCACAATATTGGCAGCATTCATGACCTGACGACCAATTTTTGATTCTTTATCAGTATTTTCCAGTAAATGAATTTTTGCGACCAAGTCACTTGGATAATGCTTTAATAATTCCTGAATTTGCTGTTTGCGTAAATCATTAATAGCAGGAATCAGGAACTGATAATCTGGATATTTTTGATAAAGAATTTTTGCTGCATCCAAAACCAACGGTCCAAGTCGTTCAATCTCACCACGCCGACTTCCCGGTAACAAAGCAATATGCTTTTGACTGATATCTAAACCAAGCTCTTGCTTGGCATCCAAAATTGGATTTTGTAATGGCAATTGACTTGCCAGTGGATGCCCAACAAAGGCTGCTGGCACGTCATATCGTTGATAAAAGCCTTTTTCAAAAGGAAATAGACAAAGCACTAAATCAACACTGGCTTTGATGCCATGCACCCGTCCTTGTCGCCAAGCCCATACAGATGGACTGACATATTGCACCGTTTTAATAGGCAAGTTTTTCTGTTTTATACTTTTTGAAAGGCGTAAGTTAAAGTCTGGCGCATCAATACCGATAAAAACATCTACGGGATTGGCAGACCATCTCTCGACCAAACCATCACGTACTGCAAATAATTTTTTTAAATCTTTAAGCACTTCAACAATTCCCATCACAGATAAAATATCCATTGAATAAAAACTGTTAAATCCTTCTGCAATCATTTGAGGACCACCAATCCCCTCAAATTCAGCATCAATACCCTGTTCACGAAAACGACGAATAAGTTTTGCGCCTAAAGTATCCCCCGATACCTCACCTACGACAATTCCAATTTTAAGCTTTCGATTTTGCAAGATATTCTTCCTGATCAGCACTATAAGTGCATGATAGCATATTCATAGGATTTAATTGTGAATAGTCAAAACAGGATACTGGTATGGCAAATGCGTGAATTTATATAACAATTCATCTAATTTTCTATCGTTATTTTATTTTCTATTTATATTTTCAATTGCACGACTATTGTAAGCTCATCCTACTAACAATAAACTAAGCGATAATTATTATCATTTAAGATAAGCAATGCTGAATTCTCTCCCACACGGTTTTAAATTCTCTCTTCTTAGTTTAGCGGTATTCAGTGCTCAGCAGAGTTTTGCTGCAGATATTGAAAATCTACCCACGATTTCAGTTCAAGCCACAGCTGATCAAACTGAATTAAGCTCTGAACAATCAAAATCTTATATCGTTAAAAAATCTGCAAGCGCTGCCAAGCTGAATATTCCTGTTAAAGAAACACCACAGACTGTTAATGTGGTGACACGTCAGCAATTAAATGATTTTGCACTCAATAGTGCACGTGAGGCTCTAAGTAATACACCTGGTATTACTGTCAGCAGTCAAGAAACCGAACGTTCAACCTACACTGCTCGTGGTTTTGAAATCTCAAATATTTTAACTGATGGCGTCGGCTTCCCTTCTAGCAGCTACAATTATAATAATACCAACCCTGATACATATT